CGAAAAGGTTTTGGATTGACTAATCCTTTTCTTGTAGGAAAAGCTTTAGGACTCTATAAATAGAGCCATGTTCCTTCTAACTTAATCAGCATACACAATGTAGTCTTAAGAGCTTTGAGAGTTTTGGTTAGGGTTAGGGAGAGAATTTATCGGTCACAAGCTTGATATGTTATCACTTGTGTGAACCTCCCATGTATTCAGAGTGAATTGGTTGAGGTTGTTTCTCTCTGTATTTTGTACTCTCATATTTATAGTGTATTGCTCATCTCTTTTGTGGACGTAGGTCGATTGACTGAATCACGTTAAATCTTTGTGTCTTTTGGTATATTTCTCGTTATCTTCTTACTCGTGGTCTTTCGAGGTTTGCTTTGCTAGCTTCCGTATTTACACCTGCTTATTTTCGGTCCTAACATTATCCTCTCAATTCTCTCTAGATTTCTTTAAGCTCCATCAATGCAGATTCAGTAGTATCCACCATTTTAGGTGTGTTCTGTTCTTCTACTTTACAATCTCAACATGGTACCAGAGCTAGTGTAGATCGTTGTTCTTCTTGTGTCAATTTCCAGTACTTTCTTAACATTGCTTCCCAGTTCTTGTCGATCTTCACTTTCTACTATCGTATTTGTGAATCGATTTCATCATGGTCGAAATCACAGGCCAGAGTTCCACTGCAACAGGAACATGAGGGAACATAATCGACGTAAGTAATCCTTTTTACATACATCCATCTGATAATCCAAGTTTAATTTTGGTTCCAGTCAATTTTGAGGAATTGGTTATCGATCATGGCGACGAGGTGTAATGAAGTCATTGTCTGTGAAAAACAAATTAGGATTTATTACTAGAGAACTTAAACGACCTCCTTTAACCTCATCTCGATATCGCCAATGGGAGAGATGTGACATGGATTCTTAATTCTCTTAGAAAGGTATTGCAGATAGTATAGAATATGTTTCTGATGCAGTAGAATTGTGGAAAAAGTTGGAAGATCGATATGATTAGACGAATGGTGCTAAACTATTTCAAATTCAAAGGATATTAATGATCTGAGTCGGGGAGTGCTTGATATTACTATGTACTATACTAGGATGAAGAAACTCTGGAAAGAATTGAGTAATCTGAGTATTAAGAATCAGTGAAGTTGTGCTTGTAGTTGTAGGGTAAAAAGACTACGCATAAGGCTGAACAAGATCGAATGCTAATTTAATTTTTAATGGGTCTTAATGAGTTTTATATTATTATTAGAGGTAGCATTCTGATGATGAATCCATTGCCATCCATGACCCAGGCATTTGCACTACTTGTTCAGAAAGAGAGACAAAGGAATTTAAGCCAGTCAGATGTTTGTTGAAGGTAGTTCAATGAATTCTTCTATGCAGATTGGTTCATCAAGTTCATCAGGTAGAAGGATGACTTCTACCAATGCTAGCTCATCAAATTCATCAGGAGGAAGGGTGTTCCGGACAAACTATTCATCGAGTAATTACCCTGCAAATAATAGGCCTAAACTTTTTTTGTGAACATTGCAGGAGACCAGGGCATACCATTGACAAGTGCTACAAGATACATGGTTATCTGAACCAAGGAAATACTTCTAATGAGTAGAATCTCATTCAGAATGGACAGGGTTTTAATCAGCAAAGATACAATAATGTTCAGAGGGCACCAGTCAATTACATGCAAATCATAAGTATGCTAAAGGTAAAGGAGTGACAACTAATGCTTTTGCAGATCCAAACATTGGAGAAACTGATAAACCTCATGCAGCTTGTAATGCTAACCTTACCAGTGAACAATATGGTCAACTTATTGATTTGTTACAACACTTTCAATTGGGAGAGTCAGGAGATGCTAATTCTGAGGAGCAGGTAACTTGTGGAGCTGCAAACTTTGCCGGTATTATAGCTTGGAACTCATCTATTGATTTTGATAAACTTTCATGTGGCTGTCTCAAATTAAAGAGTGGTTTATGGATACTGGATTCAGGAGCTACACACCACATGAATTTCAACATCAACCACCTCTCACACATTACTAACCTACCATATCCTCTCTTAGTTAAGTTACCAAAAGGATACAAAGTTAAGTTGACCAAAGTTGGAAATGTTAGAATTAATGACTTGATCACACTGTTTAGAGTTCTTTTCATTCCTTCTTTTAAATACAATTTAATATCTATCAATTCCTTATCTCTACATCTCAATTGCATTGCCATTACTCTCTAACTCATCTTGTATCTTGCAGGGCCCTTTAATGAAGAGGCCTCTGGAGATTGGTAGAGAACAAGATGGGTTATATTCCTTTGCTCAGATTTCTTGAAAAAGAAAAAGAGCAGTCCATTCATTTCACAACAAAGTTCAACTCAGTCACAAAGCTCATCTTCAACTTCATGTCTTTCTCACAACAATAAGATAGGCTTTCTATGTCAATGTTTTCCTCATTCTTGTAGTTTCATTTCTCATTCTTGCAGTCCTTTACTCAATTTTCAGTATGCTAAATCTTCTGTAATGAACACCATTCCTAGTAATTCTAATAATGTACTTTTTGATTCTATGCCTCTTTTACATCATGAATCTTGCAATGACTTGCTGTGGCATTATAGACTTGGGCATGTACGCTTTGTAAAAATGAAATGGATTACATCCATTCTTGTAACTTTTTCAGCCAAACAATCTTTTACTTGCAACATATGTCCTATGGCCAGGCAAACCAAACTCTCTTTTCCACGTAAAATTCATACTACATGAAAGATATTTGAGCTACTCCATGTTTACTTATGGGGACCTTAGCATATACCCACTCATGACAACTTTAAATATTTCATCACCTTAGTTGACGACTTTAGCAGA